AATAAAACCTGCATTTCTGGACATGTTTTTTTCTTTTTTTTTCTTTTTTTTTTTGAAGCTCCCATGATCTTTAAATAGAAGGACCGTTCCCCTCTGTTCCTCTTATGTTGGAGCTGTTTTATTAAATAGGTCTATTTCTGCAGCCGTTAGTGGGAACTTAATCAGCACAACAGCCAATTAAAACATACTGATGGAATTATTTTTCTCTTTTTGTTTTTTTTTTCAACTTTTTTTTTTCATGACAGTGGTAAAGCTGCAGGGGAGAAAGGTCCAGCTCTGTAGTTAAGTGACAGGTGAATTATAGCACTCTGCCTGCAGAGGTGTTCTTTCTCAGCTCGCGCTCCAGTAGGCGCAGCCAGAACCGACCAATGGATTTAATTCCCTGTAATTGACAGCTGTCATCGAAAAGCTCTTGTTGACCCTCAGAACTAAACGGTGTGGAACAAGCTGACTACTTATATAGGTGGATATGGTGACCCTTCCCCCCCACCCCCACCCCCATACACACACACACACACACTCCCACAGACATGAAGGCAGACATCCTGTTGAGTACAATCTATCTCCACATGAGGTGGGCTGGAGCATATCAAGTAGTAGTGGGAGGAGGGGGCGGGGCGGCGGAGCTTTAGCCCGGCTCACCTTTCATGACCGCTGTAATAAGATTACTTGCCTCACACGTCATGACAACAGAGAGAGGCAGAGAACCGGAGCCGGGTGATTCCATCCATGCAGTTATTTAGCTTCAGCGGCAGGCTGAGGCTGCAGCGCGCCGGTGGATCGTTCGGGCACCAAAGTGCTGATGAGGAGGCTGCTGCTGCCTCTGCTGCACCCACGCCCGGGATTTCTACCTCTTTTGGCTGTGTTTCCTGCTGAGCGCTTTCTGGAGTTAACCATGGTAAGGCGTTTCCTTGAAGTTTCTGCGATGACACGCAGCAGGCGTTAATTATCACGACGCTCCCGCGAAACGCGCTCCTGAACCCCACAGAACATAGGGTGCCTGTTACATCACTTCTAGTCTGTCCTCACCGCATCGTGTCGGTTTCTCGCCATCAACTCCACACCACAGTCTAATCTCTGGAGGTGGAAGTTTTCAAACAGTAACCGAAAGCATCAGCGCTCACTGTGGATTATCTGAGGGAGGATGGACTAACGGGAAAGTGTCCGGTTTAACGGGCAGTTTACTGCGGCAGGTTTTTATTTCTTATATATTTCTGGGGAATTATGTTTTAGTTTATTACCTGATATCTGCATCAAGAAAAAAAATGTGCACATGTATGCAATTAATCTCCCTGCAGGTGTGAATAGGAGGGAATTATCTTTGCTCCAATAGCTTAATTCACTTATTAGGCATTAGCCTATATTCTCCGGGTAATGGTGACAAGACTGATTGGTCCAGAGTCCACACAATTTAAAGGTTTAAAATAGCCCCAATGAGACTTTAAAACCAATTACTCTACAAATAAGCATGAGGTGCAAAGTGCAGTTTAAAGACACATTGTCTCCATGTAACTATGACTGGTGCCACTCAAAAAATAAATAAAAAAACATATACTTTATCTAAAATAGTGGCTTACAGCTAAACTTTTACACTAGGATCATTTCATGATAGTTATTCATTTTGGTGAAATAAATACTGATATGTTTAATATCATTATTGCGAGATATCTCCTATTAGAGAATCTCAGCAACAATTAAATCAAATTTTAGCTCAAAATGTGCGAATGAAGCTGAGTTGGAGCATTTTTTTTGTGTGTGTTTGCCAAAGTTGTGTAGCTGTGACAGCCATTTAACTTAAAGTGACTCTAAAAGTTGATCAGTTGTAGATGTCCATCTAATGATTGCATTCTGAGAGTTTTATTAAAACCTGATAGGTGGTCCATGATATATTTTGCTAACAGACAAATGAGGCGGGCTCCTATGGTTATTGCCAAAGTTTTAAATAAAAAAAGTAAAGCAAAAACCGCCGCAAGCGAGCATAAAAACCTTTTTTTGGGGGAAATTGAAGATTTGTCAAATTTTGCTGGTTTCATTAACCTTTTCTGTGATACTTCAAAATTTGCATAAAAAACATTGATGAAAAGATGACTATAGTAAAGCAACTAAAGCCTGTTATTGTGAGATGTCACACTCAGAACTATCACATCAAATTATAGTTCAATATCTGTAACTGACTTGGTTATAGCCATTGTTTTTTTGTATCATAATGTTGATTAGTTGTGGTGATTATTGAATTGGATTGTCTCCAAATGTTGCTCAACTGTAGAGGTACATCAACTGATTACTTTCTGCAAGTTTCATTGAAATTCTTCTAGTGGTTTATCAGATATTTAGACAGCAGGCACTAGAACACACATGCACACAAACTATCCCAAAGGCATAATTTTAGAACAGCCTCAAGTTTGGTTAGATATAGTTTCCTCTTTTCTAAACCCAGAAACCTGTTTTACATTTTCTTAAAAGTGATGAAACAATAGAGGTTTCATTGTAGGATAGATAACATTTTTTTTCCTACAGCGAATTACTATCGTAACTTAATAATCATACAGCAAATATGATTTCATTCGTATGCACAATGGAGACTTTAGGGCAACTTTTCAATATTATTTGATAAGAGACTCGTGGGTAGCGATGCCTGAAATGATTTGGATCCTAATGCATAGTGAGAAGATGAGGAAACAGGAGCGACTGTGGAGTGCTTTTTCTCTCTTTTCACCTTAGTCCCGGTGTTTCGGTTTCCACTGATGGAATTTCACACATTAAGAGGCAATGCTGTGGGTAGTATAAGCCTGTGTTATGATTTACTGTCAACCTCTCTGTTTCCGTGTGGGGAAGGGCAGATACTGCACAGTACGACCACTATTATCAGATCAGCAGCTCGGTGTCAGATAACAGACCAAGTAAACTCTCTATTTCATCTCCACCACCTGTAGTGGTACAAAATAAATGGAATGCAAATGCAAATGGAAACTGTTTAGTAGAGAACCAGTATATCATGCTGCTATGATAATAAAAATGACAATGTGGTCTCGGCACTAGTGTACAACAATATTGTTTGCCTTTTGTTTTAATTTAGCCACATTACTCCTAAAGAAGAATGTTGTCTTTTTCCTCTGACGGTTGTAAGAATGTAAAAAAAATGTCTGACTAGTTATTTGTTTGTCTTTTATCATTGTTTATTTTTGTGGCAATTGATAGACACCCCCACCCCTTATATTTATCGTCACCTTTATATATGTTTGGAACATTGAAGGTGTATTGTGACCTCATAGCACTGGACAGTATCAGTTATTTAAAAAAATCAGGATTGACCAAAATCGAAAACTGCAATCGGTGCAATCCTAGTTAAAAATATAATTTGTGGTTTTTGAATGCATTAGTTCAGGAGTCTGCAACCTCTTTGATCAAAAGAGCCGTTTGTGCTCCTAGGCTCACTGTGTCCCGAGCCGCAAAACAAGCTACAACTGTGATTAGCAAGTGGTGGTCTGTGGGCCTTTTCAAGGCCTTTTCGGGAACCTTTGCGGTCAGTGGAGGAGACATTATAAAACTAAAAAAATATTGTTATTATTATATGTTTTTTTACTATACATCAGGACAAATAAAAGACCATTTTCATTTAAACAAGAAAAATACCATACATAGTTTATACTGAATTTCATAAAACTAGTACAACTGAAATATTATAATCTTATTATGTTGTGGTCTTCAAATTATTTGAAGACAATTCTGATGGACTTGAGAGAAAGATCTTAGAAAGAAATTGGAATGTTTAAGCAAACAACAAGCTAACATTTTACTTTTTGTATTAGTAGTATTGATTGCATATTTGGATACAAATTGATTTCTGTTGTGGGTATAATAAAAAAATATTCTGTCATGTTTGGTCACATTTTCAAAGAGCCACTTCAGGGGGACCAAGGAGCCACATGTGGCCCCAGAGCCACAGGTTGCAGACCCCTGCATTAGTTCTTTGAAATATAATTTGGAAAAGCTGTATAGACAGGTCAGAACTATTCATAAATTAGATATTGATATTGGCCTACTAAACAGGAGTTGGTGCATCTCTAGTTAAAATTGTGTAATTTGTCGGGCAAATTCATTTTGGGTTTGCTATTGTTGTCCTGTAAAAGCATTACTGCTGTGAAATGCACTCTGTCTTTGGAGGAGCCCTTACAAAACAACATAATTTCAAATGTTGTCAAGTGTAATGACACAGAGCTGCGCACAGGGATGACTGCCTTTTAATCTGCTTGGTTAGATCAACCTAATTAATTGGCCAACTGATCAGGCAGTTGRCATTTGTACATATCTTCTAATTAGTGTTTATAATTAAAGTTTTCTTTTTCAAAAGAGAGATGCTAAAGTGTAAAGAAATTCTACTTTTATCAGGAAAGCTAGTAAACAAATATTGATGTGTATTTCATATACTTTGACTGTGCATTCAGTTCTCTCTGGTACTAAGTGTTAATAACTTGACCTCCATTTCACATTGTGCAGTATGTACCATATTGTAGCTTTAATTGAAGGAACATCTCAAGGACAAATGTCAGCTTTTYTCGATCAGAAATAAATACATGGAAACGTAAATCAGCACAGTGCACTGTAGAAAGTAAGTCACCTTTGATAAATCTGTAGGAGACGTTCGTATTAATAAAAGTCACATAGTAAAGTCGAAGAATGTCAACAAAAATGCCTGAAATGTCAAGAGTTGTTARCTGGAACTGACTTGAAGACAAAATAGACCTACCTTTAACTGGCCGGTAATTAGTTTACTTAGCACTGAATTGATTTCTTTACAAAGGGATGAGCTGAGCAATACAAACCCCTAATTGAAAGTTGAATTGAGGCCATTTGCATTATTTATTTGTTTGTTGTTTCTTCATTCTGATGGGGTGCGTTCCATCCGTGTTGACTAGAGCGTTGCTGGCATTACTTCTGTGGATGCTGTCATCACTGCATAAATCCCCTCAAAGCATGTTTTGATGCTTGCGGTGCACTTCAGTGTAAGCTGAACTTTCTCCACGTTATTTGTCACTGTTACAGTCTAATTTGTGACTCAGCGTCATTACAAGCTTCAGTAGGTGAGATAGGAGGGACTGTTCATACAACATAATTCTTTTGCAGACAGCATCTGATTGCCCTCCATGATTTCCCGATATTTTGCCCTCTAGCTTCACAAGCCTTCCAGGGCCTGCTGTCGAGAAGCACTTGACCATGGAGTCTTCCACATGTCAGTTGGCCAACTAGTCAAGATTTAATGCGTTTTATTCACCAGTGGCTTTCTCATTCCCACTCTGTCATGAAGCTTTGACTGGTGAAGAACAGTTGCTGCAGCCATTTGTGTTAAGCATGACTAATTTATAATGGCAAAACAAAAGTAAACCGCCCAAGAGAGTGAACACTTTTATGGGTACCTTATAACACTGCTGCATATTTTCAATGATATACAGATGCCACATTATTTGATTTTGCCTTGGTGTCAACTTGTTTGTTGGTTTGCAAATGGCTGTTTGGTCTGCATTGAAATTCTATTTAATTTATTCTAAGTGCCAGGCAGCCATACTTTGTTTGCTAGTAATAAATTTGGTTAATCCAATTGACTACCTGCTCTTGAAGCCCACATTTGATTCAGATGATTGTATTTGAGATGCCAAAGTCAAGAAAGTGTTTGGAGTGTCGTGCTAACAGAAAGAAGGAYGGAAATTTAGGAAATTTTCTCTCCTATGCAGCTATAGTTGGTACATAAAACTTATTTTATGTTTGCACTCACTGAATTCATTTTGGCCTTTAAAAAGTTGGAACGACTTCGAAAAAGTGATGACCACACATTGATTCGCCAACTTACCTTTTATATCAGCTTTTACTTTGGGATGARCAGGTTTTATTATACCCATCTTA